AGCACTTGTATGTACATCAAAACAATGAACTAGCTGTTTTTTGTTTTGTTTTCATAAATAATGCAAAATATTCCAAGAATTAAGTGAATTCATACAAAATACAATAAATGTGACTGGAAAAAAGACTTACTAGTTCAATAGCCAATTAACAATTGGATAAATTATTTCAATATTTCAGGCAAACTCTTCTTTTAATCAAAAAGGCTATGCCTTAGTGACTGTTAAGAATGAAAATTGTCGCCATATTTCACACAAATGTTTAAATGTTTAAATTTCATATCAAAGAAACAAGACAACATTATTTTTGTTGGGAAACACCTGTGATTAAGTTCGCCGTCTATCAGTAAAAAATCATTTATCTGCTGGAATTTGAATATAAGCTGAAAATTAAAAGGTGACTTTGCCGTGTTTCCCAATAAACTATTATTAGTTCAAAGAACTTAGAACTTTTTCAGCTGTAGCCAGATACTTTTAACAAGTAACATATTTTATTTAAATCAGCAGAAAACAATTTCTTTGAATTATGCCCCAAAATAATAAACATGTCACATTCTTCTAAATTGCATGATACAAGAAAAAATACTGGCAACAATGTTGTACAAATCTGCATTACTAATGTGACTCTTACGTGACAAGAACTTTTATGTAAAGAGGAAACAGATTGCTTTGCTTCAGCTTGCATGCCTATCTTGAATGGACAACTTTACTGGTAAAGCATTTTTGGTCAATAGATTGTTTGGCTTCTAGAATCTGGAAGGGTTTACAGGCAATCCATGTATACCCTCTATTATGTTTTCTGTCTTGCTGTTCTCTTATTAATTTCTTATGTAGAACCATAATTGGATGGGAAAATAATCATGTAGCCCCGAGTATGTCCACCCTATACAGCAACACCAAAGTATCCTCCTCAAAAATCTTGATTTGTTTCAATCTCTCTAGAGTTGTGATCTTAGTAGTAAAGCAATAATATTGTTACCACTCCTACAGGTTTAGGAGAAATTCCTCGAATTGAATTAATTGTCCTTTTCATTCTCTGCTTCTGATTCCTTGAAGATGTCTGTGACCCTTAGGCCGGCTTGTTTTCCACACAGACTTGTTTACGCTGTTGCAAGAAGTGCATCTTCCAAACGTGGGCGAGGATGTCACTAGTAGAACCTTCCTGTAAACACTTTGCTTACTCATTTTCAACATTTCTGGTTTCTTATCTAAAATGTTTTATTCTACCTAGATGGTAGATAATTAAATTTGATAACCAGTAAATCTAATAGGTAATAATTAAACAGTGTAAGTTTTAAACTTACTTTTATTAGGCCAAAACACACAAGAGTGCCATATGTAGGAGTCAAAAAATATCCAACAATAGTCATTTTATGTTTTGACCTCACATTTCCATGAGAGGGACAAAATAATAGTCAGAGGCTTAGTCAGGAGTCAAACAGATAAGACTTAAAATTATAACCCAAGCACTTATGAGCTGTGTGATTATAGCTAATTATTTAATCTTTGTTCCTCTTCAGTTTCTTCATCTGAAATTAGGGATATTAACAGTATACATTGCATTGAATCCTAGTAAATATTAAAGGAACTAATGCACACAGTGTTGTTACAGAGTGAGTCCTCAGAAAATGCTGGACTGATTATTAACATTGGATTTAATTGGTATTTTGATTGTCCTTCCACCCTTTTATTCTCCCTCTTGAATTTCCTGCTGAGTGCTCCTGGTTTACATGAACTGCCCTTTGCATTCCTGGTTGATAGCATTTTTCATATAATATCTTACTTGATGTGAGGAACACTATGAGGTTTATGGGGTAGGGATTATTATTCCCCTTTTCCAAATGAGGAAACCAAGTTACGTTGCCTTTTCAAAGACCACACAGAGAGTAAAAAGCAAGGCCAGAATTAGATTTTTTTTTTTTAACCATACCGGTTTTAATAGCGTCATTTTCTTTCTTTCTTTCTTTCTTTCTTTCTTTCTTTCTTTCTTTCTTTCTTTCTTTCTTTCTTTCTCTCTCTCTTTCTTTCTCTTTCTTTCTTTCTTTCTTTCTTTCTTTCTTTCTTTCTTTCTTTCTTTCTTTCTTTCTTTCTTAATAACATCATTTTAAATGGACATTCCTGGGCAGCAAATATTCTAACATTGATAGTATCGGATTGACATGATCATTTTGAAGAGGTCTTCTTCTCATTTGTCATAAACTTCTAGAATAACCAGCATTTTTATAGAAATTAATAAATACCCATATCATTTATTATATGTATAAATTGTATTATCCCTCATTTTCAGATAAGAAAAGAGCAAGATTTGAAAGGGGGCAGTGTGCCTCCAGGGCATCTGCTCTTAAACAGTATGTTACCTCTTAGACAGTAAATTATACAGCAAACTTCCATTGCCTTTGAAATTTAAATTGCTCCTCCAGCAGTAAGTTTCAACAGGTCACACTGTTTCTAACAAAACAAAAATCCCCAAACCAAAAACGTTGCCCGTGTGAAATTTTATATGCTGACTAGAAGTGATTTTCTAGATGGGGACTCTCACAGTTAAGACCGCTACACGATTTGCACAGCCCAGTGCCAAATGAAAAGACAGGCCCCTAGTGAAAAAGTCATTAAAAAATTTCAGTTGGAATGAGACAGTAGAGCATTAAATCCAGTATGTGGTCCTTTACAGCGTAAGGTCCCGTATGGCGAAAAGGTAGCACAAGCCCAGGCCATGAGCCCTGCTCAGAGCCTATAACCCTGACTCCGGCCCTGACTGCTCAGTAAGGTCCTGCAGACCTGAATAAAGACTCATAACATGAATAGAACAGAAGTGCTGGAGACCTTTTATTAAGTCTGTCCTAGAGTCACTCTAGCTTCTCCATTAAAAGCATTCTGAGGAGGGACACCTGGGTGGCTCACAGGTTGAGCATCTACCTTGGGCTCAGGGCGTGACCACAGGGTCCTGGGATTGAGTCCCACATCGGTCTCCCTGCATGGAGCCTGCTTCTCCCTCTGCCTGTGTCTCCCATGAATAACTAAATAAAATCTGTAAAATCAATCAATAAATCAATCAATCACCCTGAGGCAAGGGGAGCTTTAGTGAAGTGAGACATAGTAGGGAAGTGAGGCTACCAGGCAGCAAGTCTGATCACATAAAAGGAGAAAGGAGAAGTAGAAGCCACTTTTCATCTTAGAAGTCTAACGTCAGGATGTGGGGAGACCAAAGGGGAAGTTCTGGGGAACTCACAACACCCCACAAAGAGGGAATAGAACTTGGCTTTTCATCAGAATAGCACAGGAACTTGTGACATATATCCATGTGCCCTGGTTGTTTGGAGGGAAGCTGTATTAATTTTTATTTAAGTTAATAAGCCTGGCACTGGTCATCCCAATTCTTTGCTTTTTGCCCTTTTAAAAATCATAGACAAAAATGATGTTTTTAGCCCTTTTTTTCCTTTTAAAAATAGAAAAATGCTGCATTTCTGAAAAACAGTTTTCATTAATTCAATCTGTCGTGTACATTAAAGGTATTGTTATTCAATTTTGTAGACAATCAAGAATCAGAGCAGGTGATTTTAGAATCAAAATATAGGGATCCCCGGGTGGCTCAGCGGTTTAGCGCTTGCCTTCGGCCCAGGGTGTGATCCTGGAGACCTGGGATCGAGTCCCACTCTGAAGTGGGAGCCTGCTTCTCCCTCTGCCTGTGTCTCTGCCTCTATCTCTCTCTCTCTGTGTCTCTCATGAATAAATAAATAAAATCTTTAAAAAAAGAATCAAAATATATAGATTTAGATTCAAAGATCTGATTCAAGAATCAGAGCAGGTGATTTTAGAATCAAAATATATAGATTCAGGTCCCTCTTACAGATTCTGTGATCTTGGAAAAGTAAATTAATGCATCTCTCTGAGCCTCTGTTTTTGAATCCATAAAATGGGAAAATATTTAAAAAATGATAACCTTGGAGAGTTTTTGTAAGCATTCAGTGTATAAAGGTTCTTAGTGCAAAACCTAGAATATCATAAGAACCCAACAAATTATAGAGACATCATTTGATATAAATACACATGCATTTCCTATATAAATCCATTTACATTTTATGCATGTGTAAATTCTTTTAAGTATGTAACCATATATATGTGTGTCTCTATATATAAGGTATGTTTTTTTAAGTTTCTAACTTTTGGGCTCTCAGAAGGGGAAAGGCTTGGCTAGAAGAACTGGGTGTAATAATAGAGTTTCTCTGGGAACTTCTGCTTGTCACTGCTAACTCAATATTCGACTTTATAGTGTTCAAATGAAATGACTACTGCCTACACGACAAGAGACTTCCTCAGTATAAACCCTATGCTTCAAATTAAGCACACTGAGTGTTTACTTGAATATAAATCTAATATAATCCTCAGAAAAAGCCAGGTGTGCTTCCTGTCTGAAATCGTGGTGATGTGCTTTCAGGTGCTCTGGCAAACATTGATTGGGATGTATGAATTGCCAAGTATTGAGGTTATTTTACCTCCCTAATCCTCAGCCATCTGATGTGTGTGTGTGTGTGTGTGTGTGTGTTTTAATGTGTCTGTTGATTTTAATCAAGAAAATAAAACAGGAAATACCTGAAGCTCTAGTGTCCCTTTTGCTGGAACACTGACAGAGCACATAACCAGAGTAGTTTTAAAAATTTCAGTTTTACAGCTCCTACAAAATTGTTGATAACGGTTGCTTAGTTATATGCCCGGTGTGGAATTCACTAAAAATTGTCAATTTGAGAAATAAAGAAAAAGTCTAAAACACAGAAGCAATTGTATATCCAATAGGAACTATGCTAACTTTGACTATGCAAATCAACATGAAAATACCAAATGCTTCTCTGAATGTCACTGTTTTGACAGTGAATGAAATGATTTCGACGGCAGTCCTTATAAACTACTTGTGAAATGCATAATTTGTTTGTGTCTTGACCTCACAGGAAATTCCTCTTGAACTGTACTTGGAAGTTCGACTGAATAAATTATTCCTGGACTTTTGAATTATTAATCTTGTCTGCATGATATGCAAATTAGACTTCACTATGTCCAGTGACACAGCTTTGGGTTAGAAGCTGTGTCAAGTTGCTGGCAAAGAATATCTGTCAAGGGATCAGGGCCTTCCAACGGAATGGTAAGTTATAATGCAACTCATGTCACACAGGTATACAAAGTAAGGCTGGACTTCCCATTAGGGGTTTCTTTTAAAAGTGGCCTGTGAACAGTTAAGATGTGTAAATGAACTATTATTCATAACACATAGAACAATAAAAAAAAACTAAGAGGAAGTCATAATTTTTCTCCTGTGTTTATTTTTTTATTAAAACTAATACCTTTTTAAATTGTCAAATACTAAATTTATTTTACAGAGGTTTATTATGTTTGCTAAGTGGGACAACATATTGGTAACATTTCAACAAAAAGAGTAATCAGGTTTAGTTAACTATAACTACTTAAAAAAATTCCAAGTTCCTAAATCCAATGAAACAATGAATATATATATATAATAGTTTATGTTTAGAAAATACTATGTGAGAGGAAATCTCAAGGCATTCTAAAAATTGAATTTAGCACTTAGTTTATAAAAATTATAATTATGTTTGTAAAAATTGCAATTATTCAAAATGGGGAATTGCAAAAACTATTGCTGGCATACCTTCCAGAACTTTTTATAATTGGTGAGTTATTCTTTTTAATTCATAAACGTATAGTTTGATATCTTACTATCACTTTTTAATGTATTGATTTACACTGTAAGTTCTGGAATATATAAAAAATGTAGTTATCAATATTACATGATTGTCTCTTTTCAGTATGCATTTCTATTTGTCCATTCGAATTGTTTATTACTGAAAATAGCAATGGATTTAAAAATGCTCATATGTAATAATGAATTAATACTGTAAGTGTGTCTTGAACCGGGTCAGGGTTAAAATGCACAGATGATCTTTGTTTAATCGTGATATTCGTAAGAAAAAACAATTTAGGGGGGCCTGGGTGGCTCAGACAGTTAGGAATCTGCATTCAGCTCAGGTCATGATCTCAGGGTTCTGGGATGGAGCCCCTGCACCTGGCTCCCTGCTCAGTGGGGAGCCTGCTTCTCCCTCTCCCTCTGCCCCTCCACCCTGCTCCTGCTCTCTCTCTTGCTCTTGTGCTCTCTCTCTGTCAAATAAACAAACAAACAAACAAATAAATAAATAAATAAATAAAATCTTTTTAAAAAAGAAAAAGAAATAATTGAAAAGCTAGCAAGCTATCAAATATGTTTTTAAATCTAAGCTTCAAAACTGTACGTTTTTAAAAGGCTGAATTCAGCTGAAGTGAAAGAAACATTATTCCAAATTAAAAATGAATACTACTGATCTGCTTCTGTCAGTAAATTGAATATTGCTTGTAACTTAATAATTCTAACAGGTTTAGATATATATTTGGATATGTAATTAAAGACTTCACTTTAATTACTGATAGCTTAAGAACAGTTAAAAATAATTCATCCCAAATAGCTATAACCTATTTATCATGATTTCTATTTCCTGAAAATTGAACATACAACGACTAGAAAGTGGAAGAGAGAGTTTTAATTTTTCATGAGGGACTTTTCCTTTAATTGAGAATTTCCCTTAAAGGATCAGCTTACTTCACCAATTTGTAGAATTGTAATCCACACACTAAAAACACATTCAACGACAAACATCATCTTATTTGGACTCTGATACCCAGAAAATTATGGGTCTTGGTGAGGTTTAAATTGACCTGCAAACATAAGACAGATTGACATTTAAAAACCATAGCTTATTAATATTAAGGATTTAAGAAAATTATTTTAAGAATAAAATAAATGTATCCAAAAGCAGATTACAAAATATCATAAAGAGCATAATATCATTTTTAAAAAAATAAATTCAAATAAATACTAAACTGTAAGAGGATATCCAAATAGTGGGAGTGTTTGGTTTATGGACCATTTTCATTTCTTCTTTTTGCCTACCTGTGTCTTCTTAGGGAGTGCTACAGAATATCATGCATTTTTAAAAGTTATTTTTTTAAAAAAAATGGATAAAGCAACCACTCTCAGAAGTAGGATAAAGGTGAATTGTCATTCATTGTCCTTATTCCAGTTCTGGTATTCTCTACCTCTATGATCTCCCTCAATTTCCATTCCCAGTGATGCCTCGAAGCAGGAGACTTCTCCATGGCTTTAGCACAGCCCCTGACTTGCCCGAGCGGTAGATATTGGGAATCTGGCACATGTAGTTACACGTCTTTATGGCTGTCTTTTCCTGCAATGGCAGTCAAAACCTCCTGCTGCATGACAAGCTAGTCACATGGATCATCTAAGAACTGAGTAGTTGGAAAAATAAGAGAACTAGAAAAAGAGGAAATGCAAAATGAAACAAGTGAGTCTAATGGAAACTTTCTCTTGCCTTAATATTCCTTTGAGGGAGTGCATCTGCTTTTTGAGCTTTCCCAGAATAAGGACGTTGCCCAGATCTGAGCTCTGAGGAGCTCCAACATTTAAAGCTGGGGCAAATAGTCTACAAAGAGAGGAAGGAGAACCGTAAGGATATTGCTGTAACATAGAAGGCAAGGAAGAGAGTGCTTCCAGAAGTCTTGGAATTGAAAGCAGCTGGGAAGAGAGTTAAAACTAATAGTGAAGAATTATCACTAATCTTTAAAACAAAGCCTTTAAAAAAAAAAGACCATTAAACTTTTTGCTTTATTTCTACAAATTTTAATAATATCAAATACAGGCTGATCCGGGGAAACAAATAGAGAATCCAGATAAACTAAAAGGAAAAAGGACTCATTAAAAATTATCTGGCGTCTCATCTCTAGGAATAAAATTCTTAATGCCTTGGTTACATATTCTTGGCTTTCTGATGCTTATTAATTTCAGATAAAAATTCCTAATTTTAAAATAACCTCAGTTTTTTTTTAAAAAATTGAACCTGAAGATATATATGAAATTTTGCCTTTCACAAATGTGTGTCTAAGCAAAGCTACGTACTTCAATTGCCAGTTTTGAATATTAGTCATATTACGTGCAATGTCAAAATTATAGTGAGATAAAGCAATGCGCCCAATTTGGTGGACTTACTACTACTTATCTGACCTTAGAGGAAAAAATATTTATAAAAGTGTTTTCCAAACAGTCAAATATTTACCTTCATCTCCACGCAGCAGGCATTTACAGACCATCTCCTATCTGGCGGTCACTGTGCCAGATGTGGAAGATAAACATGAGTAACCTAAAGTTTCAAGAAATTTGAACAAACTTCGTAAACGATGAGAATATCAAATGGGGAAACTGAGCTTAGACTGGTGGGTCAGAGTCTGTCTTGTGAAACCCGCTCTTACACTGAAGTCTAAGGGCAGTGCATGTGATGGGGCAAAGGTCACAGGGTGGAAAATGTGAGTAGTGAACTGAGCATTCAGTGAACTGAGAACTGGGAAAGTTCTCTGTGGGGTCTAAGAACAGGAAGACAGAGGCAAGGAGTAGAGCCATGCTAAGTGAGCAGCACTGGCCTAGAGGAGCCAGATCATGCCTGCCTGAATTCCTCATTCCCTGGAGAGTGAAAGGTCATTAAGTGTTTTGGGTGAGGAGAGTAATATGATCTGAATCTTGGTAGTAGTTTCCAAGATTGTTTGGCTCCCAGGTTGAAGGTAGGTTGAAAGGGAGCCAGAGAGGATGTGAAGAGACCATAGAAGATACAGTACAGTCGTGGCCCGGATTAGAATGGTGATGAAGGCCATGGAGCAGCGGTGATGGACTCGAGAAGTAGCCAAACACTACAGGCAACAAGACTCGGTAGCTTATTTGTTATTGGAGAAAAGGTACAGCTGACTTCAAGGAGACGGCTTAGATATGCTACAAGCTTTCAGCAAATTGTGGCCACTCCTCTTGTTATTACTGAGATTTTAGGCCTCATATTTTAAATTTAAAAAAATCATGTTTTAAAACTGGAATTGAAAAAAAATAAATAAAACTGGAATTGTATTTTATAAATTTAGGAAAATAACCATAAGTCTTTGACAATATGGAAGCAAAATAAAATCTATTAAAATAGCAAGACTGGAGTTCTAAGAATCTCTGTGTCCTCTCCTAGATTGTGCTCCAGTTAAATCTAACTCAGTAGACTTCGTCAAACAGTGGTGCTATGCCGGGGATCATGGTAGGTGCTAGAGACAGAAAAAGGAATTAGATGTTCCACGTGTTTCGTTGCACCATTTCTTGGCCCCTGTGCTATTTGTCAAGTCCTTTGTGTGTGTTTCCACCTCCGGGCCTTTGCACATGCTTTCCCTTCCATCTGGGATATATTTTTACCATTATGTGTGACATGCATTTATTTGTGTCCTGGATCTTTCCAAGATAGTATAAATTGTTTGAGATTAGGAACGTTGTTTGACTCGGTGCTGTTATTCCCAGTGCCTAGCATATAGTTCAAAGGTATTCAATATTTATTAAAATAATATATTAGTGACATGTCCGTATATGAATATGTACGTATATGCACTCCTTCCCAATATAGTCAGCCTTTCACAGTTCAAGTGTTAAGTGGTTTTTAAATTCTTTTTGTAATGTTTAAAAATATTTAATTAATTAATTTACTTGACAGAGAAAGAGAAAGAGAGAGATTGAGCACAAGCTGGCAGAGGGAGAGGCAGGGAGCCCGATGAGGGGCTCCATCCCAGGACCCTGGGATCATGACCTGAACCAAAGGCAGATGCTTAACCGACTGAGCCACCCGGCCATGTCAGAGTGGTTTTTTAAGAAATTATTATTATGTTCTGTGCAGTTTTGTCTTTAGTCATAGTCCAGAGTTTCAACCTTCTCTTTTCTCTTTCTTTTTTAGGCGTGGAATGCAACTTGCCTGAATTGGCTGGCAGCGGAGGCTGCCCTGGAAAAGTACTATCTTTCCATTTTTTATGGGATCGAGTTTGTTGTGGGAGTCTTTGGGAATACTGCTGTTGTTTTTGGCTACCTCTTCTGTCTGAAGAACTGGAATAGCAGTAACATTTATCTCTTCAACCTCTCTATCTCAGACTTGGCTTTTTTGTGCACCCTTCCCATGCTGATTAGAAGTTATTCCCATGGAAAGTGGATATACGGGGATGTGCTCTGTATAAGCAATCGATATGTGCTTCATGCCAATCTCTACACCAGCATTCTCTTTCTCACTTTTATCAGCATCGATAGATACCTGCTCATGAAGTATCCTTTCCGGGAACACTTTCTGCAAAGGAAGGAATTTGCTATTTTAATCTCTTTGGCTATTTGGGTTTTAGTTACCCTAGAGCTACTGCCCATACTTCCTCTTATAAATCCTAATCTAGCTGCCAATGGCACCAACTGTATTGATTATGCAAATTCTGGGGACCCCCACAACAGCCTCATTTATAGCATGTGTCTAACCTTCTTGGGATTCCTCATTCCTCTTTTGGTGATGTGCTTCTTTTACTTCAAGATTGCTCTTTTCCTGAAGCAGAGGAGCAGGCAACTTGCTACTGCTTTGCCCCTTGAAAAGCCTCTCACCTTAGTCATCATGGCAGTTGTGATCTTCTCCGTGCTTTTCACTCCCTACCACATTATGCGGAATGTGAGGATCGCTTCACGCCTGGAGGAGTGGAAGGAGTACCAATGCACCCAGGTCGTCATCAACTCCTTTTACATCGTGACCCGGCCGTTGGCCTTTCTGAACAGTACCATCAACCCTGTCTTCTATTTCCTTCTGGGGGATCACTTCAGGGAGATGTTGATGAGTAAACTGAGGTACCAATGGAAATTCCTTACATCCTTTAGAAGATGAGGTCTTGGATGGATGTTCCCACTCATCAAAAGTGAGATGCTTCTGTAACGGATTGTTTTATATATGCAGCAGTCGGCCAGTTACATTTGGATTCAACACACAGATGTAAATCAGAGAGGGACAGACCTGACACCTGTTTGAAAGACACACTGCGTCTGGATTATGTGAAAGGAAGAAAATGGGGAGTATGTATTGGTTTCCTCACCTAAGAACTGAAAGGAGTTAGGCCAGCATTGTCTAACGTTTTGAACATGGAAGTCCAAAACCCTACGTGTTATGAGACTGTCTCATCAGTATAGAAGAAATAGCAGATAGATGCAGCACCAAGTAGTTTAACCATTGGTCAGATCGTAAAAAAAGAAAAAAAATATCTGTGTTGGCAACATTGTCTAGGTTATTCTTATTTCTTTGATGTTATTAATGTGAAAACTGAGTAACAGATTAGGCATATATGATTAAAGTTTGGGGTGAGAAATTGTGCTCTTCAACAAAATTTAAAGTAAACAGTAGCAGGATCCCTGGGTGGCGCAGTGGTTTGGCGCCTGCCTTTGGCCCAGGGCGTGATCCTGGAGACCCAGGATTGAATCCCACATCAGGCTCCTGGTGCATGGAGCCTGCTTCTCCCTCTGCCTCTCTCTCTCTCTCTCTTTCTCTCTCTCTCTCTGTGACTATCATAAATAAATAAAAAATTAAAAAAAATAAACAGTAGCAGTAAGCAAGAAACCAATGCCTTGAGTTCAAGGATGCCTATATGACATTTCTTTAGGTTGGTCATGAATTGGGGTCAAGTTGTAATCATAAGTCCTATTTTGTTATATGGCTTTTAGTGCAAAGAATCATACTAAATGGAACCCAAAGAGATGGTTCAACAAAGAGAGAGACAGGTTCGAGCTTATCTCTCAAGGAATTTAGGTTTAAATGATTGTACCAGAATCCTAGATGAGAGGTATCAAGGAGAGCTGCAAAAATCTCAGAGTTCTAGAACAGAAAGCGCCTTTCAGAAAACCCAAAGCAAGTTAAAATAAAAGAAAACAAAGGTAAATGCTTTTGGACAACTTTATCTCAATGACAGTGACTTACATCTGGAATGAGCCTTGTTTTCACAGAACATCACAGAAGGCCTTGAAGTAAGTGTACTAAACACAATGCACTTCATGAAATTGTAGAAAATAGGGAATATTTATGTGCATATCAATATGGATTATCCAGATACTACTCCATGTCACAAAATAAATACAGGAAAAAAATAAATGGATGCTCCATTAGCTTTTTAAAGTCAAATTAAGTATCACACAGTAATTCACTTATACGCGACAATATGCATCCAAGGCCACATATCTACACTCTTTTTCTTAAAGTTATTAGCTGTAACATAAAGGATACAATAAGCATTATGAGTGCAAAGAAATAAAATTCTCTTGCCCATCCTGTTCTGAGATGCTCTGGTGCTGTTATTATTCTGACATTACAAAAACCCAAAATACTCCCAGTTAATGCTTCCAATACGTGAAGCTACTGAGGTATTATAAAAACATATTACTCCCATAGGATGTATTTTCATACTTATCATTAGGCTTTAAGATATTTTTTCATGCCTTGCCTTTATCGTCAATATTTTAAAAATTTTAATGTGATTTCATAACTGCCTCATAATAAACTGAAAACACAATCTCCTGAATTTCCTCATCAAAAAAGGCTACGAAAGGGCCTTAGGAAAGAAGCATTCGCTTATTTCTGCAAACATAGAAACATGATTTATTTGTAATTTGTGTTTTATGCATGGGCTTTAATTTGTAAATATGGCATTCAATTTTCCCCACCCCTACCCAAAGAAGTAGTGGACTCCTTTAAATAGTACAGCGAAATATTTTATGAGACCATAAACTCTCAGATACATCTTGTAACCAAAATGTTAAGTAATTTCATAGCACATTTCTTAATCCTCTTCTTGCTCAAATCTATCATCCTGTAACCTAATCCTCAATAGACTAAAGACATCTGCCCTAAAATTATTAGAGCTATTCCATTTACCTTTTGTACTAGGTGATTGTGAGAAGCATAAACAATAAATAATGGAAATCCTTTCTGGGTTTGTAGTTTTCAAAGGAAGTGATGTTAAGTTTTTACGTCTTGTCTTTTAATTGGTTCCTTACTGTTTCTAGACTCATGTGTAACTATTTGGCCCCAGCATTTTGCAACCTGGGCCCACCTACATTACCATATATATTGTCTCCTCCTACTGTTGTCACAAACTAAACCCTCCACCCAAAGGTGGCTACTACATTTCATTATATGCAGAACTTTCTTCACTATGTACAGCTCGAGGCTCACGCCTGTCCCATCATGCCCACATATGAACACTTTAAGCGTCTTTTAAAGTCCATGTCATCTGTCACTCCTTCTTAAAGCCCCCCTTTAGATCTCCTCCACAAATCTGGAAATAAATTTGTCAACCTCTGGGACATCAGGCTGCTCTTAAACACTTTTCATGAAATGCATTATTTTTTACCTTATAATATTGTTGTGTACGTTCAAGTCAACTCTAAGATCTGTGACTAGAAGAACCACATCTAATTTTTCATTCCCCTCTAGCACCCAGCAAGGTCTACTTTAAATGGTTGCTAATTACAAATGAATGTCCTACAGACCAAATTTGAATTCAATGCTCCTCTTTACTGTGCATAATTGAGCTACCTTCTGTTCTCTCATTACTTTTATAAGTAATGCTATCTTATATGAAGAATAGAGTGTGAATACACAAGCACGTGTGCCAGACACCATTGCCCCATCCCTTTATTTTCCCCTATACCTTTGAGCATAGTTTTAAGAGATGCTTAAAATCTGTGTTACTAGTTTCAAACTTCAGTCATATCAAAGTTGATCTCCATTGATTGCCTTTTATCTTGAGTATGGGCTACAATTTCCTGTTTTTTTTTCATATTTAATAATTTTAGAATGTATTCTGGACATTTTGAGTAATATATTGTAGAGTCTCTGGGTTCTCGTATAGTCCATTGAAGAGTACAAATATTTTGTTTCATGTCTGAAGTCAAACTCCAAACTCTGCAATCTCATTCCAGTTATCGAAGCCCTAACCGAGCTGCTTAGAATCTATGCAGCACATCCATAGTTCAGAGGTCTGTAGGGTATATACAAGGTGTACGGTTCCCTTTCTGTGGCTCTTTCTTCTCCAGGATCCTTTTCTTCATTTTCTAGTTGCTGAGTTCACTCTGAACTTGCCCTTTGCTTTCTCATTGCCAGATAGACTGTGGGTTTCTTTCTGAATTTTAGCGATCCTGCATGGCCTTATAAGGAACTGCACCCAGGATAAAATTACTTTAAAATGTAACTGGGAATGTCATTCAATGCCTTTTACTTCTGCCAAGTATCGGCCCCCTATCTTGAGCCTTATTTTGTTCACTTTCTAGTGTCTTTATATAGTTGGTTGTATGTACATGTTACTGGAGTTTAGAGATGTTCTTTGCAAGAAGCGTGGTTTGATAGGAGTTACTAGGCCCTTACCAGAGCATAAAATTTCCCCCCCTTTGAAGTTAATGAACTTAACTAGATAAATAACTCTATATCCTAAATGGTTTAGATTCCCACTCATAGCTTCTAAATATTAAGGGCTTACTTCATCTTGAACATCATTTGGCTTTAGTTTCCGCATTCAATCATGCTTTTTCTCTTTTCCTTTGTACCAGTTTTGGTTTTAAACCTAACCTCTGCAGTCATTTCCAACAAAAAAAAAGTAGTTTAAAAAATAATTTTCCTGAAAACAAATAGCATTTACTGATCATCGTTCCACCTTTTGTTGGTCTCCATACCTCCCTCAGTCTAAATTCCCACTCCATGCTTTGTGAAGGATAAATTTGCCCAGCTTGGAGAGAGTGGTAGTAAGAATATCTGAGTATTCCAGTGATCTTAACAAACAACTCTTTTATTTTTTTTTTTTTTTTTTTTTTTATAAATTAATTTTTATTGGTGTTCAATTTACCAACATACAGAATAACACCCAGTGCTCATCCCGTCAAGTGTACCCCTCAGTGCCCGTCACCCATTCACCCCCACCCCCCACCCTCCTCCCCCTCCACCACCCCTAGTTCATTTCCCAGAGTTAGAAGTCTTTATGTTCTGTCTCCCTTTCTGATATTTCTCACACATTTCTTCTCCCTTCCCTTATATTCCCTTTCGCTATTATTCATATTCCCCAAATGAATGAGAACATACACCGTTTGTCCTTCTCCGGTTACTGTGGCCAAGTTCAAAAAGGGTGTTGCCTGAGTTCTCCTCTGGGATTTTGATGGAATCTTGTCTCACATTTAGATCTTTCATCTATTTTGAGTTTATCTTTGTGTATGGTGCAAGAGAGTGGTCCAGTTTCATTCTTCTGCATGTGGATGTCCAATTTTCCCAGCACCATTTATTGAAGAGACTGTCTTTCTTCTAGTGGATCGTCTTTCCTCCTTTATCGCATATTAGTTGAGCATAAAGTTCAGGGTCCACTTCTGGGTTCTCTGTTCTGTTCCATTGATCTATATGTCTGTTTTTGTGCCAGTACCACACTGTCTTGATGAACACAGCCTTCTGGTACAACCTGAAATCTGGCATTGCGATGCCCCCAGATATGGTTTTCTTTTTTTAAAATTCCCCTGGCTGTTTGGGGTCTTTTCTGATTCCACACAAATCTTAAAATAATTTGTTCTAAGTCTCTGAAGAAAGTCCATGGTATTTTGATAGGGATTGCATTATACGTGTAAATTGCCCTGGGTAACATTGACATTTTCACAATATTAATTCTGCCAATCCATGAGCATGGAATATTTTTCCATCTCTTTGTGTCTTCCTCAATTTCTTTCAGAAGTGTTCTGTAGTTTTTAGGGTATATTTTGAGAACCATTTGAATGGTAAATGGTTCTCCAACCTTTTATTTTCAGGTTGTAGGTGTCCTTCTGTCTAAAATGAGTCTCTTGTAGACAGCAAATAGATGGGTCCTGTTTTTTTATCCAGTCTGAAACTCTGCGCCTTTTGATGGGGTCATTAAGCCCATTCACGTTCAGAGTTACTTGAACTTCTTCTTAAAGGGGAGTTTTAAGAGACCCCCTTAAAATTTCTTGCAGAGCTGGTTTGGAGGTCACATATTCTTTCAGTTCCTGCCTGTCTTGGAAGCTCTTTATCTCTCCTTCCATTTTGAATGAGAGCCTTGCTGGATAAAGTATTCTTGGTTGCATGTTCTTCTCATTTAGGACCCTGAATATATCCTGCCAGCCCTTTCTGGCCTGCCACGTCTCTGTGGAGAGGTCTGCTGTTACCCTAATATTCCTCCCCATGAAAGTCAGGGACTTCTTGTCTCTTGCTGCTTTAAGGATCTTCTCTTTATCTTTGGAATTTGCAAGCTTCACTATTAAATGTCGAGGTGTTGAACGGTTTTTATTGATTTTAGGGGGGGATCTCTCTATTTCCTGGATCTGAATGCCTGTTTCCCTTCCCAGATTGGGAAAGTTTTCAGCTAGGATTTGTTCAAATACATATTCTGGCCCTCTGTCCCTTTCGGCGCCCTCGGGAACCCCAATTAAACGTAGGTTTTTCTTCCTCAGGCTGTCGTTTATTTGCCTTAATCTGTCTTCATGGTCCTTCAATTGTTTATCTCTTTTTTCCTCAGTTTCCCTCTTTGCCATTAACTTGTCTTCTATGTCACTCACTCGTTCTTCCACCTCGTTAACCCTCGTCGTTAGGACTTCTAGTTTGGATTGCATCTCATTCAATTGATTTTTAATTTCTGCCTGATTGGATCTAAATTCTGCAGTCATGAAGTCTCGTGAGGCCTTAATGCTTTTTTCTAGAGCCACCAGTAGCTGTAGAATAGTGCTTCTGAATTGGCTTTCTGACATTGAAGTGTAATCCAGATTTTGTAACTCTGTGGGAGAGAGGGCTGTTTCTGATTCTTTCTTTTGAGTTGAGGTTTTCCTTCTAGTCATTTTGCTCAGTGCAGAGTGGCCAGAAACAAGTTGTATTGGAACACGGGGGAGTATCACTGGTCCGTCCAGCTGGTCTTCTGGGGGAGGGGCCTGCTGTGCTGATTTTCAGGTGTTAGCACTTGGGGGAGCTGCTCTGCCCCTGCCTGCTGCAGGGCTCAGCGGGGGTTGTTTACCCCGCCAGGCCCCAGGAGGAACAGCCGCAGTTGCTATGGCAACTCTGGAGCCCTGGAGTCAGCCCCCGCAGGAACTTCGGGGCTCTCCGTCCGCAGGGCCTGGAGGCTCCGGGGCGGGGCCGCTGATCTGCTCAGCTCGGGGCAGGAGCGTCCTTGCTGTCCTGGGCCCTCCCGGCCTCTGCCTGTCCCGGGGGAGGCCGGATCCTGGGCTGTGTCCCGGCGCCCTGTGCTCCGGGGCCTGCGCTGTGGATTCGCGCTCCCGCCCGCAGCCCCTCCGCGGAGCCGCCCCCGAGCCCCTCCGAGCTGCTCCGGCCCCGCCGTGCGCGCTGCAGCCCTTAGGGAGCTCGGTGCACTCTCCCGGGGCGCAGGTGTCTGTTAGTGTCCCCGGGAGCCCGAGGGCATCCCCGCCCTCCTGGGTCCTGCTCCAACTCCCTGCGAGCCCCTTTCCGCCCGCCCGGGAAGGTTGGTGCAGCTCCTGCTCCTCCGGGACGGGGCTCTCCTGTCCTGGGGACACTCGCCCCGGCCTCAGCCCGGCTCCTCGCGGGGGCCCCTCCCCCTCGGAGGCCTTTTGTTCCTTTATTTCTTTTTCCCCGTCTTCCTACCTTGATAGAAGCGCGAACTTTTCTCACTGTAGCATTCCAGCTGGTCTCTCTTTACATCTCAGGCCGAATTCGTAAATTTTCAGGATGGTTTGAAGGTTATCTAGGTAATTTGGTGGGGACAGGTGATTTGGGCACCCTGCTCTTCCGCCATCTTGCCCCTCCCCCCAACAAACAACTCTTTTAAAAGGAATGGGTGATGGTGTTAAGGAGGGTACTTGTTTGATGAGCACTGGGTGCTATATGCAAGTGATGAATCACTAAATTTTACTCCTAAAACTAATATTACACTATAAGTTAACTAACTAGAAT